AACCACCTAACCAAAATAATTCACCTTGTGAGTGAGTAAGAATTTGTTAATTCCTTTGAGCCTTTTAGTTAGAATTCATCTTGGTGTTGAAATATGAACTTGTGCATGAGTGAGGAGTTCATCATGGATTCTAATGTTGTTTGTTGGTACTTAATCCTCAACCATGTATTATGGTTGGATTTTTCCTTTCCTTAGAAAGTTGGGAGCCATCTTGTCACTGTGTGTGGTTGTATTTAAGCTGGGGAAAATAATGTTTGTTTGTTTATAAGTTGCTTGCTTGAGGTTGGATAAATAAAGTGGTAGGAAAAGAAAAAGAAGAAAAAAAGAAAAAGGAGAACAAACTTTGAAAAAGAGAGAAAAAAACTATAGCAAATAAAAAGTTATGTGTTGGTGTAACATTTGGGAAAATTGAAGAAGTTGATTGAGTTGTGCTTGAGACTTTATGAATTGATCATTATCATAGAATTAGGCATTATTTATTTCAGTTACCTTTAGATATTAACCCTTCCTTATTACCCAAGCCACACTACAACCCTTTTAACCCCTTGTGATTTTGCTTTTGTACTTTTTAATATGAATTTGTTTTGATGAATGCATAATTTAGTTGTTGTTAGCAAGATTATTGGGTGAGAGTTGATCCCCTTGTGTTTGTGTTTTTCATCTACTGATGAAGTGTGTGCTATGTGTGATTCATTTATGAATATTATATTGCCTTATAACTTTTTACTCTTGTTTTGTATTTAGGAGTTGTTTCGTTTTCATGTTATCATTATAGTTCAATGGTAAGTTTTGCTTTGCTCGTACGTTTTTTATATGAACCATACATTTTTCATTTTCAAAACATGTTGATTTGTGATTCTTTGATTTTTTTTCTTTTTGTTTCTTTAGGTTATTTAACTTTGTTTGAGGACAAACAATTATTTAAGTTGGGGAGAGTTTATAAGTGCCAAATTGTGGTGTTTTTTATAGTGAATAATTGGCACTTATTGACTTTATTCTTTTGGTTTTTATGTTAAAATCCCGACTTTTGTGTAAATAATAGTTCAATAGTTTATTTTTATAAATATTGTATCGTTTGATAGTGTTTTATCTATTTTGTAGGTATTCATGCATGGTTGAAGCATTGAGCAAAAAGAGCCAAAGGCACAACTTCAAAGATGCGATTTTGACCAATTTATCAATGAATAACGCTCAAATTAAAGAAGCAAAAAATCATTAATTTGGTTTATATTTAGGCATTGTTAGATAGATTATTGAATAAACTTTTCAACGCTTTAAACCGGGCGTAAATTAAAGTTACGGTTCTCAAGTTATGACAAAAACAAGTGCTGAATTTTTTTTGACACAACAGGTTTGGCGCTAAGCACCCTCTATGCGTGCTTAGCGTGCCCTGCAACTTCAAAACTCATTAAATAGGCCAAAAAATACCATTTTTGGTTATGGGTTGGGTATTTTTTAGTCCCAACGCCATAAGCTTGATTTTTTTGTTTAGAGAGCTTAGAAAACAAAATTTATGGCTTGTAATCAAATGATCCGGGCCGGGAGCTTGGTTGGTCGTGATTGACACTGTGAAAGATTTGATTTCTTCTCCATTTTCTTCTCTTTGCGATTATTATTTATTGGGGTTTTATTTGTAAGTATGCTTGTTTATATTATATGTATTGCTCATGGTGTTGTTTGATACTTTCTTTACAAATCTTCATTGGTAATTGCTTGCTTTATTTAGCCACTAGGTTTTTGTGATCCTTATCACCCAGATTATGTTTTCCGCTTGCACAAATCACTCTATGGTCTTAAGCAAGCGCCTCGTATCTGGTACCAACGCTTTGCTCACTTTGTCTCCACCATTGGATTTCAGCACAACACCTTTGATCGCTCACTCTTCATCTACCGTCGTGGCTATGACATGGATTACATCTTACTTTATGTTGATGACATCATTCTAATCAACTCCTCTCATGACCTACGCAAATCTATCATGGCACTTCTTGCCTCCGAGTTTGCTATGAAGGGTCTGGGACCGCTGAGCTATTTTTTGTGTATTGTAGTGACCAAACTTGCAAAGGGATTATTTCTTAGTCATAGTACATATGCTAGCAACATTATTGCTCGAGCAGGCACGACCTCATGCAAACCATCTGTTACTCCAGTTGACACAAAGTAGAAGCTCAGTACCTCTGTCAGCACTCCATATGATGATCCTACATTATATCAGAGTCTTGTCGGTGCTTTGCAGTATTTCACATTTATTTGTCCTGACATCTCCTATGTTGTTCAATAGTTGTGTCTTAACACGCATGCTCCCTGCACTGAGCATATGCTTGCACTGAAACGCATCATGCATTACATTTAGAGCACCTTACAATATGGTTTGCATCTCTATCATTCTCCCATCAGGAAGCTTGTTTCATACACAAATGTTGATTGAGGTGGATGTCCTGACTCTCGTCAATCTACTTCGAGTTATTATGTTTTTCTTGGTGACAACCTAATTTCAAGTTCTTTCAAGTGACAACCCATACTTTCCCGTTCTAGTGCAGAGGTTGATTATCGTGGCGTTAATGTGGTTTCAAAATCATGCTGGCTCTGCAACCTTCTCTTGGAGCTTAATTTTTTCCTATTTCCCAGGCTACTCTTGTCTATTGTGACAATGTTAGTATTATCTACCTATCTGGAAATCATATTCAACATCAGTGCACGAAACACATTGAGATGAACATTTACTTTGTTCGGGAGAAGGTCGCTCGTGGTCAAGCCTGTATTCTTCATGTTCTTTCCCGATACTAAATTGTCGATATCTTCACCAAAGGGCTTCCTAAAGTTCTCTTTAATGATTTTTGGACCAGGATAAGCGTCCATTAACCTCCCACTTCGACTGCGGGGGTGTGATAGAATATGTATTTAGTTGTTAATAGAATATATATTTATATTTTGTGTATAAGTCTCACATCTAATATAACATGTAATGAATTGTAAATCTCTTTATATATAAAACAGTCTCTATAGTGTTATTCTCACACGGTTGATCTTAATATATCTCAATATCTTACATGAACCCGTTAAAACATATGAGACCTTGAGTGATCCAATATGGATTTGTGCTATGAAAGAGGATCTGGAATCAATTGATAAGAACAAGACTTAGAAGTTAGTTGATCTACTAGAAGGAAATAAGCCAATTGATGTAAGATGAGTGTACAAAGTGAAGGCAAATCCCAAGGATAAAGTAATCAAGCATAAGGCTTGATTAGTTGCAAAAGGATTTTTGCAAAGAGAAAGTATAAAATTTGAAGCATTTGTATTGGTGGCTAGAATTGAAACCATTAGACTAGTTGTTGGTATTAGAAATAACAACAATTGATCCATCTACCAAATGGATGTCAAATATGTATCTTTGAATGAAGCACTTGAAGAGGAAGTTTATGTAGAACAACTCCTGGTTTTGTTGTGAAAAACCAAGAGTCAAAGTTCCAGAAATTGAAGAAACTGTTTTTACGATTTGAAATAAGCTCCAAGAGCTTGGAACAAGAGGATATATGATTTCTTAAAGGAGATTGACTTCAAGAAGTGTGTATCTGAACATGGTCTGTATGTGAAGAAGGATATAAATGAAGGGGTGATAATCCTTTGTCTATATGTAGACGATTTGTTGATTACGGGCACCTATGAAGAATGCATTTCGAGCTTCAAGAGTGAGCTTATAAAGGAGTTTGATATTACCAACCTTGACCTCATGACATACTTCTTTGACATTGAGTTCTACTAGTCCAAGAAGGGACTGCTCGTGCGCCAAAGAAGGTGTGCACTTGAGATTTTGAAGAAGTTTGAAATGGAGCATTGTAATGATGTCATTACTCCGGATGAACCGAGGCTATAAACCTTGCTAAGAATCCATTGTACATGGGAGAAGCAAGCATATTAAGAAGAGGTTTCACTACTTGAGAGAACTTGTTAGTGGATGAAGATTAAGATTGGAATACTGTAGAAGTGAAGACCAAGTGGCTGATTTGTTGACAAAAGAAGTGTCGAGTGAAGTCTTCAATATATTAAAGAAGTATATGGGCATGGGAGACTTGGAGCACTTGAATTAAGGTGGTGTATTGTGAAAGTCACCTAATTCAAGTGTTGTAATCGATTACTGCGTTTTGGTAACCGATTACCACTGTATTGAATCGGTTTGTTTAGAACAACAATAATCTGTTACTGTATTTTAGTAACCGGTTACCACTGTGTTGAGATTTTATTGTAGAAACAGTTGTAAGTGGTTACAGGTTTGTTGTAACCGGTTACAGACAGACATTTCAATTCTTTTAGTTAGTTGCTTATATTCCAATCAATTATACTTGTGCATATATATACTTTTGAAGTATCGTGTAATGAAAATGTTAAATACACATTTTCACCCTCAATTATACTCTCTCTCTCTCTAATTCTCTCTATATTTAATTACTCAATTTTATGTTCTAATCGTATGATAACAAATTTAAATACTTATCTATCTTAAAAGCAAATTAACTCTTTAATAGTATTTCTTCCTGTTCTTTTTATAAGAGACACTTCACATTTCTAAATTCATTTAATAATTAATATATCTGATCTATAATATAAATAAAATATATTAATTATTCAATGAATTTGTAAATGTGAAATGTCTTTTAAAAAAAAACTTTGAAGAAGTATTTTTATTTTGGAAAAGATATGTGTCTATGATGTTTTAGGCTAGAAAAGCGGTGTGACTGTCAAACTTCAACGTGTCTTTATGCCAGCGACACCTTCCCATGTCGACAACAATAACGTTTCGGTTTTATTTTTTTCCACTTCACAGTGTTGATAAGCTTTTTTGTCTTTTTCCCTCCTTATACCTTGTTGCCAACAAACGTTTGAAACCAATGCAACTTTCCTCTGAATTCTGTCCTTCCATTCCATGAACCATATTTTCTGAGTGTCATTGCCTCTACTCTCTCTTTCTCTCTCTAGTGTTGTACTTCCATTTTCTAGTTATGGCTGCTCTATCTTCTCTGTCATTCTCAGCAATGAACTCACAGAGAAAATCAACTCTTCCTTCCACTCGTTACCTTGCTTCCAATTCTGATATCTTTGGAATTCGGACAGATTCCTTGTATCATTGTGTCGGTGTTCGAGCTTCCAATTCTTCATCTAATATGGTTATTCAATGCATGTCTTCAGTCACAGGTTTGTACCTTTGTTAATTTGGTTTTATTCTAGTTTACATTTGCATGCATGTTGAATGTTTTGAAGCTTAGGTATGATTTATGAGTGTGTGACATGGTGTAGAAAGTTTTACATTAATTTTGTTTATCTTTTTAACACCTACTTTAAAAAATGAATCTTATTATCTACTGCAGATGTTCCCAGTGTTTCTGAGACAAAGTTAAACTTCCTAAAGGCGTATAAACGACCGATCCCGAGTATCTATAACAATGTGCTGCAGGAGCTCATTGTTCAGCAACATTTAATGAGATACAAAACATCATACCGTTATGATCCGGTATTTGCTCTTGGTTTTGTCACTATATATGATAAATTCATGGAAGGGTATTCTAGTGAAGAAGACCGAGACACTATATTCAAAGCTTATATTAACGCGTTGAAGGAAGATCCAGAACAATACAGGTTAGGAGATTGATTGATTGTTTATTACCCTTTGTTATCCTTGATCTAAACCTTTGACTCAATGGTGTTTTTGTTTTATGTTACCCTCTACAGAATAGATGCACAAAAGTTGGAAGAGTGGGCTAGAGCTCAAAATTCATCTTCTCTGGTTGAGTTTTCATCCAAAGAAGGAGAAGTTGAGGGGATTTTAAAGGATATTGCAGAAAGAGCAGGAGGAAAGGGAGAATTTAGTTATAGTCGTTTCTTTGCGGTAGGCCTTTTTCGTCTTCTTGAGTTGGCAAATGCAACAGAACCAACAATTTTAGATAAGGTAGCTCAATTCATTCAAGGCATTATGCATGACTTATAATTTGAATTATTCAAATCAATGTTTTATTATTGTTTTCTATTTTACAATTGTTGAAGTTGAACCTATAAACAGCTTTGTGCGGCTTTGAACATTAACAAAAAAAGCGTTGATCGGGACTTGGATGTGTATCGTATGCTGCTTTCCAAGCTGGTTCAAGCAAAGGAGTTGCTAAGAGAATATATTGACAGGTAGATATCTAACATTTCAATGCCTTTTAGGCTTTAGTTGTTCTCATCTTCTCTACTGTCACCACGGCTTTTCGTTTTGAATTTGGTATAACTACAGTTATAACTTTGCTAAGTGTGTGTTTGGTTTTATGTTAGAGAATAGAGATCATCATAACTGAATTTAGCTCCTATCAAACACGATTTAAGTAAAAATATATAGCTTTATAGTGTCAAATAAAGTTGATTTTACTTCTAAACCTCAATTTGACTAGATGTGATTAAAATTGACTTTTGCAACATGTAAAAGACACAAACATCCTTATTTATCCTATGTACATTTTTCAGAAAAATCGAGATTCAGAAACTTGTTTGTAACTGATACTTGTCTCGAGCTTATAATTTTATTGTTAAATTTGTGAAAATCAGGCTATTTTACTTCTGAGATTACCTAATCTGATATTCTATATGCACTATAAATATGAGTATGCTACCATTACAAATCAAAGTCTAATAGATGTGACAGATTTATAGTTACAACTTGATGGTTATTCTCAGAAAGATTTTGCTTCATTGAAATGTTTTGTTACTCCAGGGAGAAAAAGAAAAGTGAAGAAAGGGCTGAACCACAGAAGGCTAACGGGGCCATTTCAAAATGTTTGGGGCAACAATTGTCTGTTCTGTAGCTATGTCCAATTGAAGATTTCTTATCCTTCACATGATTGTTCTTAATCCAATGAGTCGGATAAGCAATAGTCAGCATGATTTCACATAAGCCTAAAACCACAGTTGACCCTTCCAACATGATTTGGGCGTATTTTGTTGTTTTTACCTCGCAGTCACCAATGTATTTTGCAGTTCTTGAAAGAAAGCCCGAAGGCATACCTTCTGACTACATAAATCTTTTTCTATATGTCAGCATGTACACTGAGTTTGACATCAATTTCATGGTTAAAATTTACTGATTTATACCAACAATCGCACTTTTCTCCTTTTAGAAAGTTGTATGGTGCTCTGTTTCCTTTATTACATGTTCTTTATCTGGGGTCCTTCCTCCTCCATAGCCACAATGTGCATATTAAGAAGAGTATATTAAATATCAACTCTCCCCAAACACTGAATTTTAGAAATTGTGTGGAAGATTTTCAAACAATTAACATACTCTCATTTTTGTCACTCCAAAAGAAACTAGAAACTCCGTAACTAGTTTGAATATGTATTTCAAGTTTCAACTGCAAGGGACGTTCAGAACAAATCAATTATTGCATTCTCAATCTAAATTTACAATCACAATGGTTGCAGACATAATGCTGCTATAATTGACAGGTGACAAAATAGATGGAGGCTACGATAAATTAACACACATAAGGTCTAAACATGGCTAGGCAATGTCAACAGCATAATGTTAAAGAATGGTGTAATAGGAGAAAACCTAACTGAGATGAGCAATATCTACTTCATCAGGGATTTTGAATGTTTCAGCTGCACCAAACTTTCGAAATTCATCTGCTAAACTGTCTTCATCATCATCGTCTTCTTCTTCAGCAACATGATGATAAGGTGACGACGGATCGTGATGCACACTTTTTGATTTGGCCTCATGAGTGGCAAGCATGTTAACCTGTCCGTGGTGAGAAATCTCTACCAAAACAGTATCATCATCAACTGGGAGAGGTTGCTTCCAAGGCTCCCCGTCAATCCTCATGTATGTATGATCTGCTGCACCTTTGTGAAACTCAAAGCGGATTCTTTTTGCCTAATGACAAGATCATTTAAAGCAAATTTAAACTTTCAAATCCATAATATAATAATAATTGGCACGGAGGGCAAGTAAACTATTGGAAAGTGTTTCCATGAGAAAAACTTGATTAAGATGTGTATGCAATATTTCATCGTATCCCACACCTGAGCAAGGCGAGTTCCATGTCCATTTGGATGGAGTAAAACAAGTCCATGCCAGGCATCTCGAAAACCAACAACTTCAATAAGACCATCATCTACATATGGAGGTGTAAAATCTCCCTGTATTTGATCAAGTTAGCATATTTAGAGCTTTGTTTGGTGATTGCATAATTATTACTACTTCAACTACTAGCACCTAAACTATAAAAAGTACAGGGAAAACAACTTCAATAACTAAAATAATTTAGAATTAGTTATGAAATTTACATCACGTCCCCTCCTTCTGTTTGGTGTACCCCATGGATTAAATCCACCAGAAAAGCTAGGCAAGTTAAGGCATACAATTGATCGGATGCTGCAAATAAAATGAAAAGCAGGTAGCAAACACATCAGATGTTATTCAAGAAGATTAGTCGGTCGCAAGGTCGGATATCAAGATTAAAAAAAAATATGTTACTCAAGCAGTAAACCATAAGAGAGAGAAAATTAGATGCAGAAAAATATAAATGGCCATGTGACTATAAAATATCCGTGCTCAAGAAGTTGACATCGTAATGAAACGTTAGTCATCAAATAATTAACAATACAATAATAAACGCAATGAAGTTCTGAAAACATGAACGGGTATGATTCACATGACAGTGAACTTAGAAACAATCATGCATAGTTATGTGTGGATATTGATCTATGATATTTTTGAAATGTAGTTTTTGCTAGATATACGCCAATGCGCTTGTAGCTTAATAGACATAACCAAGTTGTAAGACTTCAGTATGATGTTGATGTGGAAGTTTCAATCCTCCACTAGAATGTACTTTACTCTCCACTGCCCAAGATCTTACAACTTCAATATTACCAAAATAGAAAGGTAAGAAATCACAAAATGCTTTACCTGGAAGGTATTTCTAGATCTTCCCAATGACCATGTGTTTTCATGACTTTGACTTTTCCCATATGTGCTATGTTCCTGCAGTCAAAGATCAAATTAAGTTTACTTAACTGTTCCTCATAACTCATAAATATAGAAAAAAAATTTGCTTAAGGACCTATTAAGGATAGATACGATGATATTACGTGTGTAGTTGGGTGCATATGTGTGTGCAATTCATCGGTCTAAACAAGTAATGAAGAATGAAAGAACGGCATACTTAAAGGACCGGTTGCAAGTTTTAATATTAATTGATTTTAAAAATAGATTTCCAGTGTCATATGTGTATCATGCAAGATAAGCCTAGTGTCATATGTGTATCATGCAAGATAAGCCTGTCTATAGTAGATCCGTAACAGCACCAACGCTTTCCTAGATCACACTGGTGGGAGCTCTATAGCAAACAAGGACATATGTTAATGGTTCATGAACTCGGGTAAAAGGAACCTTAAAACCATAAAAGGAAAACATATAAATCTTATGTGCAATCAATGACAGATCTACATGAACTGACCTGGATGGAGGATGGAATAAGGAAGCTAAAAACCATCCTTGTGTGCATCCAAGCTTAGCATAAGTGCTCTGACACAATTTTAAATAGAATCACAAAATCAATCACAAAAAAAGTATGGATAATGAAAGTACATCTCGGTGGTTTGAAACTACATATTCCAATGAATAGTGAAAGAGTCGGTGGAGTTGTTGAAAATAAGATTAGGATCCATGTATTTATTGTATAGAATTGACATATTGTATCATATCATATCGTGTAAATAGAAATAAAATATTTTGTAATTAGTATATTAATCTTTTGACATATGCATTTTTCTTTTTCTCTCATTCAACAGTAGTATTGCTATTAACTTCAGCACAATAATACTTATGTATTTTATTATAGTTATGCAGAAACAACAATATACCTGATTAACCAACTGATTCTTGAATTTTTCAGGGTGCAATTTCCGTTCAGAATGAAATGCATAAGACACTTGAGCATCCATTCCTACAACCAGAAGTCACAGATTTTTCAACAACTGCTTAGCAAAAAGAATTGATGAAATTTGGGGGAGTCACAAAATACGAAATGTTTCCATCATTTCATATTCAAACTTTTCGCAGCTTGTGTAAAGAAGGAAAGGTTTTATTGCTAAAGTTAATTTAATTTAATTTTGCAATTTAATAATTTGATATTACTCTGTAATATTTAACCAAGATCAAGGGGGTGTGAAACAGACAAAATTAAATATTACTATGTAAAGCCAATTAAATCAACTAATTCATCCTTCACTATAATTCTTACCCATGCTGAAGTAATTCCAAAATCCACCTCGAAAAGTGTGGCAACCTTCCTGAAGAACAGTAAGAAACAACCATACAAGGAAGTAGAGTGATTAGAAAAAGAAGCCTGAACTTCTGTAACAAAAGATTTACAGCAAATACAATCACCACACATTATACTGTGTAAATTTCATTAGCAAAAATCAAGGATAAAAGTTAAAATACACACATATTTTGCTGTTTGTGCTTGAGGAAATAGGAATACAAGGCTCGTGCCCATAATAGATCATAACAAAAATTTCACCCCAAACTAGATGTGATTTTGTTGCAAACCCTATATCATCTACACATCCTACAAATAATCGCAAAATGTAGTGCCCTGTCACCATGAACTGGATGTAGTATGAAATTGCTAAATAGTGAATGGTATAGTTCTTACTATACTAAGTTCATCTGTCTCTGACACACGATGGAAGGCATGCAGAGAATGGGGCAAATCAAGAGGTGCAATAGGTTCACAAGCACCATGTTTCGGAATCTTCATCCGCATAAGAAGGTGCCAGCTGAGGATTTAGGAAAAAACATAAATTATCAGCCAAGCAGTTGATATAAGAAATCTACAAAAACATTTGTTAAAGATCTTGAACAAAAACAAAAGTAGCCCTTAAAAATGGTGACAAATTTTCTTTGGATAAAGGAGCATTCGGAACTTGAGAAGTCAGTAAGGGAGAAACAAAGTACTCCTTAAGGCTTGTGATTATAATATAATGCCCCAAAAGAGAATATAATATAATGATGATAAAATAGTGTGAATACTGAACCAAAAAAAAATAATACTAAAGAACATTCAGCAAGATGATTTGTGATTAACTACCTATATGACACCACAGAAGATATCAGATTGAGCTGGTACACAGACAATGGAAATGAAATATTAAATTGTAAACGAAATTACAGGTTTTCAATTATAATATCAGTTAATTGATTTCATATTGAAGGGTTCTGCAGTTATTCCAACTATACTTTCATTTACACAGTACCAAATCAATTTAGGATATTATCCATAACCAGGCAAGTATCATACTTGCTAAACCATTCTATAACTAATATTCCTTAGAACTTTCCCAATAGTAGGAAGAAATGTATCTATAGACTCATATGCGAGCTATTTAAACAGTAGAATAACTGATAAGATGAAAGAAAATGAGGAAAGTTCATTACTTGTCGATTTTCATTTCCTTAGCTTTCATTACTTGATCTAAAAATGACAAAACAGATTGTTCATCGGTTCCCGGGTTTTTCTTCCCCTGCAATACAGCAGAAACATTATGATTTACAGGATCCATCACTTTTCTATACTTTTCTAGAAAGATTTATTATCAGGTACAGCAACTGCTGAGTAGTTCCTCAACCTCAGCACCACATTGAAAGGCATAATAAGAACCACAATCTTTAAATATAGGAATCCTGCGTATAGTTAATTAAAAAGGAAAAAATAACCTAGTTAATGCCAACATGCGCAAAGATCAGAAATAAACCAGCATAAAATGCACACTCTAAAGCGCATCCGGTCAAACA